TCTCTTCAGAGACTGTCTTATCATGGAAATGAAGCTTTTGCTTTTGGTCACTTAGTAAAGACTGCACAACTCAAGTCACATCTCAGTCCATTCTGTGTCCTAGGGCAGGGAATCCTCTACTTTCTTTCCTGCTTGTCCAGACATGAGTAGTACAGCCCTAGCCTTCCAAGGAGTCTTTCCAGTATTAGCACTGCAAAGTACAACTACTTTAAAGTCGCCAGCTAGCTAAGACATAATTTAGAAGGTTTGTGTGTGTGTGTTTGTGTGTGTGTGTGAGTGAGTGTGTCTGTGTATGGGTGTGTGTATGTGTATGAATGTTTGCTTCACGTGTGTGTGTGTGAGTGAGTGTGTCTGTGTATGGGTGTGTGTATGTGTATGAATGTTTGCTTCACGTGTGTGTGTGTGTACCTGGTGCCCAAGGAGGTCAGAAGAGGGCATCAGGTTCCCTGAAACTGGAGTTATAGACTGTTGTGAGCCACTGTGTGGATGCTAGGAATCAAATTGGGGTCCTCTGCAAAACACTGCTGAGCCATCTCTCCAGTTGAACGTTTAATTCTTAAAGAATAAACTTAGGTTGGGCATGGTGGCACACACCTTACTAATCCTAGCACTTGTGAGCCAGAGATAGGTGGATCTCTGAGTATGAGGCCAGCCTGGTCACCATACTGAAACCCTGTTTCAAAACAAGAAAGGAAAGAATAAATTTGTGAGCTGTCAAAACAGCTTAGTAGATAAAGACATCTGTTTGGACGCCTGGTGTAACAAGAGTAATAGACTGATAATGATACAAGCTTTAGAAGTAGATTATGATTAAAGACCAAGTTTTTACCTGTGGAGAAATGAGAATAATGCTGTAGTGAGAATATTGTATCTGAGAAAATATTATTTCTATATTTTTTGTGTGTAGGAGGAACTGAGGGAAGCTCATATGTATGTGTAGGTGTGTATATTGCATGTGTAGAGGTATATGCATGCATACATACTTATATGGATCATGGGAGAACCTTGAGAGTTGTTCCTCAGGTGTCTGTTATCTTTTGTTTGAGACAGGGTCTCTTGCAAACTTTGCCAAGTAAGTGATACCAGCTGGCCAGTGGGCTTCCAGAGCTTTGCCTATCTGTGCTTCCCATCCTTACATCATTGAAATTACAGACATGCTGACTTTTTACTTGGGTTTTTGAGGACCTAAACTTAAGTTCACTTAACAAGGCAGGTGCTTTACTGACTGAACAGGAATTTAAAGACTTGAGGTACTTTGCATGTAAATGTCATTTGTGGAATATTTGATCCATTAGTGCCAGCAAGCTACTATGCTAGATTCTTTTTCACATATGTATTGTATCTATAAAGCGATTTATTTCAGCCCCTTTCTGATATATATGGTTATTTTGCATGTCTGTGCTCTACATACATGCCTGGTGCTTGGGGAGTCTTGGAAGTGGGAGTTGGATCCCCTTGGAGTTACAGATTGTGAGCTGCAATGTAAGTGCTGGGAATCAAACCTAGGTCTTCTGTACAAGCTTCCATCAATAGACCTCCTTAAATTTTTTATTATATTTATTTATTTGGGAAGGGCATAGCCTGTCACAGAATGCATGTAGGAGTCAGAGAACAATTTGCAGGAGTCTGTTCTCTCTTTCCACGATATGGTTCAAGGGACTGAACTCAGGTTGGAGGCAAGCACATTTACCTGCTGAGCCATCTTGTTAGCCATTGTGTACTCTTAATGATTCAAGAAGTGGAGACAAAGGTAACCTGCCATGATCAGGCAGCTTGTAAGCGTGGTCATCTTGAGTACTATACTTTAGATCACCATTGTATAGCACTATAGTCTGCATCACTGAGAGGAGCCATCCTGCCCACCACCTCTTCAGAGTGCTTCCTCTCAGACAGATCTGGAGAACCGAAACTAGCATCATCTCCTCCATTATACCTACTGCACTTTTCATCTCTCACCTGCTAACGAAGCTTGCCTCTTACAATGTCTAACCATACAACTTTGCATTGTCTTCATTTGATCATACCAAAGATGTTTTAAGATTTACTTTTACTTATATGAATATGTTTGTGTCTGTGTATGCCACATGTGTGTGTACAAATAAAGGCCAGAAGAGAGTGTTAGATCCCCTGAAGCTAGAGTCATGAGTGGTTGTGCACTGCTTGATACGTTTTTTCTCTTTGGTCATGGGATCTCATGTGGAGCAGAGCACTTGATTCTTCTTCCTCTACCTCTCAGGTGCTAAGAGTACAAGTAATGTGTCACCACGTCTGACCTTTGTAAGGGTTTTTTGTTGTTTTTGTTTTTTGCTTTTGACAACTTTTAATGTCTCTATATTTTATTCTAGAGAAACCTGTCAGAGTCTTAAAATGTTAATGTCTTTAAATTCAAATCTAGAGAAGTCTGTCAGAGACTGGGATGGGGGCACGGCAGTGGAGTAGAGAATTGTAAGGGTAAGAATACACCACTTGGGTTTCTTGTGGATGACAGTAGGTAGACTGCACAAAGATTAAGAAATTGAAAGTTGACCTTTAGCTAAGATTTTGTCCAGTTATTGATAGCTAGAAATAACTTCAACATTACCTCATGCCTGAAAAGGGATTCAAAACTCAAAAGCTCACACAAGTTGCCAGATAAAAGTATCTGTGTGTGTGTGTGTGGTGCTGTGGAAGCCTTGCCCAAGCTAGGTGAACAGTCTACCACAACCAACCATACTGTTAGTCAGAAGTCTTTTATTTCATAGAGCTTAGAGAGCTGCCTCCATGGTTAAGAACATTTGTTGATCTTGCATTCAACCCAGGTTTGGGTCCTAGCATCCACATGGCAGATCATAATTGTCTATAGTTCCAGTTCCAGGGAATCTGATATCCTCTTCTGGCCTCTGAGGGTGCCAGACATGCATGTGGTCCACAGAAATACAAGATGGCCTCAAATTCACAGAGATCCACCTGCATCTGCTCCTCTAGTGCTGGATTCAAAGGTGTGAGCCACCATACCCAGCTCAGAACATTTTAAAACAGTCTTTTAAAATGAAGTTTACTGGCCAGGCAGTGGTGGCACAGGCCTTAATCCCAGCATTAGGGAGGCAGAGGCACAAGATCTCTGTGAGTTCAAGGCCAGCCTGTTCTATAGAGTGTTTTTTTCAGGACAGGCTCCAAATATGTATGTATGGATGTATATATATATGTGTGTGTATACATATATATAGTTTGATATATGTGTGTTTATTACTATGCTTCATTCAAAACATTTTTGCAACTCTTTAATTTCTTCTCAGAAATCATATCCTGTATATTCAATAAGGAGTCATAGGATTATATGCTTGCCTGAAGTAAAATTTAGAATTCAGATTTTTTTTTTCCCCCTATCAGCTTGGTCTTTGGGATCACAAAGTTGAAAGGGGGCATTAATAGTCCTTTTGTATATTTTGTTTTATTTTACTTTACTTTTTGAGACTAGGTCTCTCTACATAACCCTGACTATCCTGACCTGAGTCCTGGAGAGATGGCTCAAAGTTTAAAAGCATTGGCCTTCCAGATGTCCTGAGTTCCATTCCCAGCAACCACATGGTGACTCACAACCATTTATAGTAGGATCTGCTTAGTTATATTGCAGTTACATCTTGAAACCTGGAGACTCATCCAGAGAAGTCTTTTAAATAGGCTTATTTGATTTTTTTTTTTTTTTAACTTTCTGGCAGGGCATGGTGTTGCATGCCTTTAATCCCAAATCTCAAAAAGCAGAGGCAGGTGGGTTTCTTGTGAGTTCAAAAATAGGGTTTCTCTGTGTAACAGCTCTGGCTGTCCTGGAACTATCTCTGGAGATCAGGCTGGCCTCAAACTCCCAGAAATCCACCCGCCTCTGCCTCCTAAATGCTGGAATTAAAGCGTGCGCCACCACTGCTGGGCTGAATAGTGCCCTTAATGAATGATTCTAAAGAATTTTTGAGATAGGATCTCAAGGAGCCTAGACTGTGGTAGCTGAGGCTGCCTTCTGGAATTCCTGATCCTCCTACCTCTACCTCCCTAGTGCTAGGATTTCAGGCACCTTTCCACAACCTGTTTCTTAAAATAGAAAACTGTCAGATCATCACCCCAGGTTTTCTGTAAAAGTGTAAAAGGGGCATCAGCTGCATACTAGTAAGAGTATGGCAGAAACCTATGAGATTTGTGACAGCATGGCCTTTGGCTTTATAGACTCAGGTTTGAATCCCACTCCTTGTTTTAGGGTGAGGCTGAACAACACTCTGAGCCTCTCTTCTGGAATCAGTCCATCTTAAATATTAGGAATACCATGTGAGATGATTCATACATATAAAATACTTCCCAGTAAGTACTCAATAGACAAAGCCATTACAACCATCAACCTGGGAATTAGCCGAAGATGGCAACCCTAAAGCTTTCTTGTACAGTATAGTCACTATGAACTAAGTAGAAAAATCCTAAGGGGCTTTTATTAACCATTTGACCTATGCCCAGTGAAAATTTGAATGCCTTTCTCTGTTTAGGCCTGCGCCTAGCTGCATTTGTCCAAAGTTTTCATAAGTAGACTTAATGATCTCTGACACAAGACTCCCAAGATGCCCTCAAGCCTCAAAAAAAATTACTGGTGCTGGAGATTGAACCAGTGGCCTCATTCGTGCATATTGAGCACTCACTACCATTGGCTTGGATTAGAAAGGACAAATGAGTAAGGATGCGGCTTTTGGATGCAGCTTTCCGGAGGAGGGCTGGAAGAAAAACGGGATGAGCAATCACTTTTTATCTGTAGCGATCACTTGCTTATCCCTAGATGAAGCGCGAAAGGCTGGGAGTTAATGCAGATTACAGAGCTCAAGAGCTTTTGGAGGAGAACCGAGAGGGACGGTAGAAGCCGCTTCAGACCCTGAGACCAAAGAGAAGCCCTAGGCTCGAGATTTCCAGCAAACACCGCAAACACCGCAGACTTCAAAAATAAAACTAATCACCACCAGAGGCGCCCCCGAGAGCGTGCTCGCGTCGTGCGTGCGTGCGAGCGCACAGGCTGCTGGGATGCCGCCTCTTCCCTCTCGACCTCCCAGTTTCCCGGCGTGCTTCGGGCCCGCCAAATGGGAGGGGGAGACGCAAGATGGCGGCAGCCGCGAACTCCGGCTCTAGCCTCCCGCTGTTCGACTGCCCGACCTGGTGAGTGCCGGGGCTTCTGGGGCTGGAGCGGCCTGGCGTGGGCTAGCCGGGGCAGGAAGGGAGGCTGGGGTTTTTTTCTTTTCTTTTTTTTTTTGAAGCGAAACGAACGGCTCAAAGAGAGCCTGGAATGATTGAGGGGAAACTGTCCGCTGTGAGGGGCCGGGCGACGTGTGGAGGAACCGGGGCCCAGCCTCCGAGGAAACCCGAGGTTTGGGAGCTCGAAGCCGTTCACTTTAGACAGCCCTTGGGAGGTCAGCCGCTCGTAGAGGTGCTTCAGGCCTTGGCCCCTAACTTGCCCCAACTCCTCATTGAGTGCCTGGTGCTCTCGGGGAGCATCATACCTGGCCCCGGTGTTGAACGTCCCGAGCGCGCACGAGCTGGCTTCCCTACCCCAGCCAACCTGATGCTGCAGCCCTCCGTGGCTGCTGCATCCTCCAAGCGGCGCCTCCCCTGTTCCCGCGGACTGGGAGCTCCCTGCGGGCAGGGATGGCGCGGACCTATCCCCCTTGTTCTCAGTGGCCGGACCTGCACGAAGCCCGGTACAAAAGACACCAGAAGTTGTTAGAATACATCCTTTTCATCCCTTGGGAAGTCCAGAGGAGCTGGTTTAAGCTTTGAGTAGGGTTCAGGATGAATAAATAACGCATTGCTTTGCACGAGGATGCATCCGAGTTAGAGTCCTTTTCTGCTCCTCACGGTGTTAACATGCTACTTCTCGGTCTTCTGTTACACTGAGACTTTCAAGGGCAAAAACATATGCATCATTCTCAGCTCCTAGGCCCGAGTCACGCACATGATAGGATATTCAGAAAATATATTTTGGCTTTAATGCTCATTTTAATCTGTTTCTCGAACAAAATGGGCTTCTGTCCAAGGCAGTGAGTGTCCTTTTAGCTACTACCGTAAAATGTTGGAGCAGAACAAGAGGTGACTGTGTTGAATCTTCAATTAGACAGACAAGGTACATTTCTTCTGTGCAGAAGTAAGGGCCCTGAAGGTTCAAATAAGGAAGCCCAGGAAGCAAATGAGTGGCTGTTTTCTGGATTTCTTTATCCTTTAAAAAACAAAACCAAAAACCAGCCATTTACTTCTGCCTACAAATTCTTTATCCACAATGGGCCCTGGCTGCACTGATTTCAAATTTGGGCCGGCCAAATATAAAGAGACTTTTTTGAGATCACCTGTCATTAAATGGCAGGTGACTTGTAATGCGTACATCCCCCTTGAATGATAAAGAACAGAGAATTCTATTTTTGCAGAAAGACCTGTTTGGGGTACTTGGTTTCATGGGCATGAATGTTTTTCTAACCCAGTTCCCTAATCACACATCTCTGATTTGGGTCAAGAGTTCATTTGGGTAATAGTTTCTGCTGATCTTGTGTTGAGGCTAATATTGATCAGTCCCCAAACAACTAATTTTTGTTATTGTTTGGTTGGTTTTACTTTTGTTCATTTGTTTAAGGGCAAGATCTGCATATGTAATCCAGACTAATGTGGAACTTGCTGTATAAACTAGGATGGCCTTGAACTTGGAGTGATAACTGGAAATTCAGATGTGTGCTTCTATACCCAGCAAAACAACTGATTTATTCCATCTTTATGTTCTGTCAGGACTAGTAAATCTTAGATTAAGACCTCAGGTTAAACCAGGCATGGTAGTGTACACCTGTAACCCCAGTACAGAGAAGGTGGAGGTGGGAAGCCCAGAGACGTTCAAGGTCATCCTCAGATCATTAGGGTTTGAGGCTAGCCTGGGATATATGAGACCCTGTCTCAAAAAACAGGCAGAAAGAATGAACCTCTCCAGGTGAGGAGACATACTTAGACACTGAGCTGCTTTCTCTCTGCAGTGCTTACATAGCCAGTGTTAAAATGTTTTTTGAGCTGCTCTAAATACAGATCCACCAGAATCTCCTCTGGAACAATTGAATCACTTGGGAAGAAAGCGTCAAAGGTAGAAAGAAGATCTCACACTGAAGTACATGACATTTCTGTTTGAACACGAACTAATTATAGGCTGGCAGGAGAGCCTCGATGTTGAACAGGGTAGGGATTGTGAAAGACATTTGTGGACTCATCCAGAAAAATGCTTTTCCCCCCCACTCTTCTTTTCCAGGGCAGGTAAACCCCCACCTGGCTTACATCTGGATGTAGTGAAAGGAGACAAGCTAATCGAGGTATTGAAATGCTCCCCCATTCTAAAGTTTGTTTGCTAGTGACTCACTTTTCCATTTTTCTCCTTTGCTTTGTCTTCAGCAATGTTATGTTTGGGTTTTGTTTTTGGTTTTGTTTGGGGGGGTGTTTGTTTGCTTTAAGACAGGGTTTCTCTATAGTCCTGGCTGCCCTGGCACTCCCTATGTAGGTCAGGCTGGTCTTGAATTCACAGAGATCTGCTTGCCTCTGCCGCCTGGTGATGTGATTAAAGGTGTGTGCCTCCACACTGGCTTGTTCTTACCTATTTATTTATTTATTTGTCATCCCCCTGTTAAAAGTTCTTAGGAACTGGGGATGTAGCATTCAGACAACCCTTTTGGTCCTGCACTCAACACTCTTCTCTCCCACAAACACAGTTTTTTTATTATTTCTCTCACCTTATAAATGAAGATAACTTTTAACAGGTCATGGTCTGCAGGGCCCAGACAACTGGAACACATGGTTTACAATAACTGAGGAAGATCATGATATAATTTGAGTTTAACATTTAAGCTGTTTCTAAGAGATTAAGGTTTAGTTCCTTTCGGCTTGTATGGTTAGGTAGGGTACTTGTCAAAATAGAAAAGGAAATGGAGCTAAAGTCCATTCAGTTAAAACTAAAGGGGAAGTAAGGTATGGTGCCACACACCTTTAGTCCCAGCACTCAGACAGAAGCAGGCAGGTGTATGTGAGTTGGAGGCCAGAAGAACTATACATTGGGTCCCTGCCTGGAAAAAAAAAAAAAAAAAAAAAAAAAAAAAAACTAATGACAGAGAAAGAATCATGCATAAAAATATAGTTAAATGTTGTAAAGGAAAAGTTTAGTGGAATTAAAACTTCTGCACAGGTTTCTAGAGTCTGTGTCACATCCAATTTTAAAGTATAATAAGGTTTTGTTCTGATTGGTGTTGAGACAAGATCTCACTATGAAGTTCTGGCTGATCTGAAACTTACAGACAGCCATCTGCCTCTGCCTCTCAGGGCAGGGATGTTCTTTTATATTTGAGATAGAGTTCCACTCTAGTCCATACTGGCTTGGAACTCACTATGTAACTCTGTCTGTTTTCAGAGTCTTTGGTAGTCCTACCTCAGGTTCCCAAGTGCTGGGATTGTGTGAATCACCATATCTGCCTTATTTATGTTAAGATATGTAGTTATTTGCTAAGAAATAGAGGATAAATCCACTGGTGTCATAGGTAGATTTTAGGTTCAAAGCTCTGTTATTAAGTTTAATTATTTTTCCTTGGTGTATATAATAAAAAGCATGACATATTTGAAAAGTGGTGGCTTTTGGGGGTAGTGTGGGGTAGCAGAACTGGACAGTCTCACACAGCCCCTTTGAGTTCCTTTTTGGAAAAGCACTTTCCTGGGTTCTTTATGGAGGTTTATGAAATAGAGTTCAAATGGTTATTCTAAGAAATAATTTAATTGAAAATATCTGGAAACCTCTTTTACTCCAGGTGGGTGGCTTCATAGGAAAACAAATTTTGTTGCTACATAGAATAGTATGAAATCTAAAGATATATAGAAATCTCTTTGTGGGCTTGAAGAGATGTCTGAACATGTAAAAGGCTTGCTATACAAGCCTAACAACTTGAGTTGGATCCCTGGAACTCATATAAACATAGACGAAAAGAACCAACTACACAAAGTTGTCCTCTGACCCCTACAGTGCCTGTTCCTCCAATATACACAGACATACAGAGAAATAATAATATAATATATTAAAAGACAAAATCTATTTTGTTATTATAGTTTAGTAAATCTTTAGTTTGCAACAAGAATAAACAGGCAGAAAGACTCAGTGATAACATCACATTCCTTTGTGGAAGATATATATTTCCAAAGTACCTTTCCTTGATTCAGCAGCCTGTGATTATTGGTTTCTGCCTGCTGATAGTGTCTTTATCTTTTCGTTCTTCTACATTTGCTGAGTTGCATACCATTGTCAAATTATAATTCATACATATCACTGTATGGCTCTTAAAAGAATAGGCCTGGGGATGTGGGCGGGTGTGTTTTGCTATGCTAGTGATCAAGGGTCTCATGCATTCTGGGCAAGTGTTCTACTGCTTAACTATATCGCTTAGTCTAGATGTATTTATATTAAGGATTTAGATTTGATCAGCACTTGATACTAACCGAGCTATCTATATCATAGTCTTGTTCCCAAGGCTTGTGATATGTCGTGATAGTTGGGTTGAAGAAGTGCGATATTAAAGTAAAAGCCATGAGTCTTTTAGGCCCAGTGTGTAAAGACACATTCTGAGTTATAACTCAGAGGCACATCTGGATAGTGAACAGCCATAGCTAACCAGAAATTTAACCAGAAAGAGTAATGCATGACTCATTCACCTTTTAACTAATTCTAAGAGGTATTTTCCATTAAAAAAAATTCCCTTTTAAATTTCTGTGGTTAGGATGTTGTTGATAGTGAATGTGTGCCTGTGAGGACCCCCCCCCTCGTCCCTCATCTCTCATCTCAATCTCTAATATGCCTGCACCCTAGAATTACTGCTTTTGACCCACTATGAACACTGGTTATTAGCAAACAAGTTAGTGAGGACAGCATCTTTATAAGTAAAAATGAATGAGAAATACAATGAGATTCAACCTGTATAAATGCTCCTTGGAAGGTGCTGTTAATGTTTCAGAGCTCCCTGTTAGAGCCTGTAACTCACCATGTAGATCAGGCTAGCCTCACACTCTTGGAGCTCTACTTCTGTCTCCTGAATACTGAATGCATTCCCCAATCACCATTTTGAGATAGTCTTTAGACAGTTAAATAGAATTTACTATGTAGCCCAGGCAGGCCTTGACTCTATGGCAGGAGCCACTACACCAGGCTTCCCAAGTCTTATTAGTAATATGAGTCTTTTTCTCTGTTTTATTTTGGGGGAGGGCAATGTGTTTTTGAGTCAAAGTCCTAGAAGCTACCCTATTACTGTCCTGGATTGAACTGTGTAGACCATGCTGGCCCTCAGTTTATTGTTATCCTTTTTTTACCTGTGCTTCCTGAGTGCTGGGGTACAGGTGTACACAATCACAGTGTTTTATAATGTGTAGCACTGGGTAAGTGAGTGGCTGTCAGGTCATTACCAAACCTGGTGCAGCGTAGTATGTCCCTGAGATGAGCTGTAGTGGGCACTGCTGATTAGATTCCCCAGAGGTGACCCACAGATCCAAGCTGCTTGAATTGATTGAATCATAAAGCTAAGCTCAGGAGAAACTGAGTAGCTGCCTAAAGGAAAAGCATTCTTTGAATTTTTTTTTTTTAGAATATGACCCATGTTACATACTTATTTGCTCTTTAAAATATTCATTTCTAGTTGGTTTACCCTCAGTACCAGTGGATTAAAGAAATTGTATAACTTAGAGGTATAAAATGTTCAAACTGGGGGATCTGGAGAGATGGCTCAGCAGTTGAGAATCCCTGCTCTTCCAGAGGACCTGAGTTCAGTTACTTGCCTGAAGCTCAACCATCTGTAACTCCATCCTGGGGATCAGATGCCCTCTTCTGGCCTCCATAGGTACCTGTATACATGACATACATTGTACACGAACACATAAAGTGAAAATAAACTTTTGTTTTAGGCGAGGTCCCATTATGTAGCTCTGGTCTGGAACTCAGTCTATAGCCCTTTGTAGCTTTGAATTCACAGAGACCTGCTCGCCTCTGCCTAGAACTAAAGGCATTCACCACCGGGGCTTGCATTTTTAGATGCTCAAATTTAAGCTCCTAAGAGGCAGAAGTAGGAGGGTCAGAAGTTTAAGGTCATCCTGAGCTGTATAGCAGGTTTGAGGCCAGCTTGGAATATATGAAATCTTGTTTTCAAAAGATGAAAGGAAAAATATTAAACTGTAAAATCAAATAAATTTGAATTTTGCTTATTTACTCTTTAATAATTTATTTTATGTGCATTGGTATTTTGCCTGTATGTATGCCTGTATGGGGGCATTGGCGTTACAGCCAGTTGTAAGCTACCGTGTAGGTGTTGGGAATTGAGCCCTAGTCCGATGGAGGAACATTTAGTGCTCTTAACTACTGAGCTGTCTCTCCAGCTCCTTTATTTTACTTTTTAAAAAAATTAGGGGGGTATGTCTCTATAGACTAGTCTGGCCTTGAATTTGGGGATCCCCCTGCCTCTGCCTCCCCAGTGCTGGGATTAAAAGTGTGCACCACCATGTGTGGCTTGAAGATTTAAGATAATAGGTGTTAGTTACTATTCCTGGCTTCTCTTCATTTTAGGAATGTTGGGTAGAATGTGAACCAGAGCTCAGTGAGACCTTGTATTTAAGGAACAAGACAGCATGTTAAATGATGTTCATCAGGGGCTCACACTAGACCACCAGCATCAGGCTGGATATAAGACCTTGTCAGTAATAATTCCTTAGTGTCCTTAATTGTATGGCTGTAGTTTATAACCATCTGTGACACAGTTGGACATGTGATTCAGCTCAAAGAATGCACTTTTCTTTTCCTGCCCTTCCTACTCACTTGCTAATCAAATGGTCTTTTTTTTTTTTTTAAGAAAAAGGATGTTTTTACTTTAGGTATATGTTGTCTGCATTTATGTGCACTGTGTGCATGCCTGATGCCTATGGAGGCCAGAAGTCACATTCCCTAGAACTAGAGTTAGAGATGAGCCATCATGTGGATTCTGGGGATCCAAACCAGGGTCCTGGAAAAGCAGCCAGTGTTCTTAACCCCTGTACCGTCTTTTCAGCCTTCTTTCTTTTTCCTTTGAAACAGGGTTTTACAGTGTAATAGCTTTGGCTGTCCTGGAGCTCACTATATAGACCAGGCTGGCCTCCAACTCTGAGATCTCCCATCTCTGCTCCCTGATTGCCGGCATTAAAGGCATTCAGCTACAACTCCAGCTCTTAACAAAATATTTATTTCAGCATGTATGGTGGCTTACACCTTTAATCCCAACACTTAGGAGGTAAGAGGATCTCTCTGAGTTTGAGGCTAACCTAGTCTAGATAGCATTCTAGGCTAGCCAGGGTTACATTTATTAAATTTTTATTTTATGAGCATTAGTGTTTTGCCTGCATGTATATCTGCCTGCATGGAGTTACAGACAGCTGGGTACTAGGAATTGAACCCAGGTCCTATGGAAGAGTAGTCAGTGCTCTTAACCACTGAGCCATCTCTTCAGCTCCCAGAATTACATTTAAAAAAGAATACAAGAATTTATCTCACAGGGTTAGGCCACTTACATTTAATAGAATTAAGAACAGTTTTGTTTTTCATATAAGCTCTACACAATGGAGGGTTTTATTTGGAGAGAGATGAAATGTAATCCTCCATCAAAAAGTTTTAGCTTGGTAAACTGTTATTTGAGAACATAGAGGTAGGCCTGTAGATAGAGCATTTGTTGGGGAGGTTTTCAAGACAGGGTTTCTCTGTAGCCTTGGCTGCCCTGGAACTCCCTCTGTAGATCAGGCTGGCCTGCAACTCATAGAGATCCATCTGCCTCTGCCTCCTGAGTGCTGATATTAAATGAGTGTGCCACCACTGCCTGGCTCATAGAGCATTCTTGAGGTAAGTTTGTGCAACTGACTTGAAAGAAGTACTTAGAAATAGGTAAAAACATTTCTTTCCTGCTCAGTAGCCCAGATCCCTGTTCTTCAGCTGACAGTCCTGCCTTGAGGGCATTTTTGCTGAACTTCGATGAGTTTATTGCCCTGGGGAAGAGGTCTGTCATTTGGAATTTTAGTGGCATGCATGGAACAGGCTTGAGTAATGTCCCCCAGGAGCCAGGGTGAACTAATGGAACAATATATATGTTTTTTATCTTGGCTAGAAGTAAGAAGAATGCATGGTGGCCATTTGGGATCTAGTGTGCATCACACGTGGAAGATATTCCCATGGTGCATCTTATGATGGTCAGAAGCTTGCATGGGAGACACAGGCTGGAAAGCCCTGCGCCGATCTTACCAGAACCTAGAACTTAACAGTGGGAGATGCTTTTCTCAATTGTTGGAAGAATAATGCAATTTCATATTTATTTAGAAACTGATCATTGATGAGAAGAAGTACTACTTATTTGGGAGAAACCCTGATTTGTGTGACTTTACCATCGACCATCAGTCTTGCTCTCGAGTCCATGCGGCACTGGTTTACCACAAGCATCTGAAGAGAGTTTTTTTGATAGATCTCAACAGCAGTAAGTGTCTACCCCGTCCCTGCTCCCCTGGGGACCGAGATGGTGTTGGAGGCTGGGAGATTTTATTTTAACCAGCTCTTCTTTATTTAGCTCTTATTTTCTTGAAATAATTGACTAAAGAGAAAAGATAGTTTGGGAGACTCTCCTGGGACACGTTTGTTTGTGGAGAGAATAAAAATGTCATGAAGGAACACGGGTTATTGATGTTCAAGTACTTGTAAGGCTACTCTGTTCCCAGTTTAAGTTGAAATCATGAATGGTGTCACTGGTATGCAGCAATACATGATGTTTCAAAAACACTTGTTTTGAGCAACATTTGCATTATTTACAGTAAGTTATTTATTCCAGATACACTTTGCTTTAACTGAATTACAACGATTTTAATTTCATAAGTACACTGCAATTAGTAAGATTTTAAACTTTGCTTAAAATGGTCTAGAGAAATGCAGTTGAGACTGGATGGTGTGGACCATTAAAGTTTGCTTGTTTGCCATGACAAACAGAGTAAAATGTACAAAGTTGTACTCCCTCTGCTCATTGTATTTGACCCTCCCACCCACCCAAGCACACCCAGACACACACCTCCCCAGTCTGTTTCCATAAGGACCCTCTGAGCCTTGTCTTACAGGTTCTCTTTCTGCCCATTTCATAACATGCAGAAACGCTGACATGGAAAATTTCAGACCCTGATAGGATTTTGGCTTGCCTTGGCATTGACATTGCATCTGTGTTGACCAATCTCTCCTCTTCTGGGGAAAAGCTAAAGCATAATACCACCAGACCAGCAGTTTTCATGTTCTTAGAGCTGGAGCTAGAGAGGGCAGACCACACCTATGCTTGCCTTGTGCCTTGGAGAGTGGAGCATGGCTTCTGCTCAATTGGAGCCATTCCTACTGGACCCAGAATGGATGCGAGCCTTTCTGGCAGCAGAGAACAGGCAATGGTGTCCGTTGGATATCAGCAGATTTAAAGGTGTGTAAGAGACCCACTGAAGAGATTCAAAGCACCTTGCTGTAACACAAGACAGGACGAAGTGAACCCAGTGACATTTTCATCTTTTCTGCAGACACAGTTTCACGTGTCTCTACATTGCCTGCACTCAGGAGGATGAGGCAGGAAAATCATGAGTTAGTCTGGTTGACATAGTTTGTTTGAGTCCAAACTGGCTACATAGTAAGTTGAAAATCAGCCCTAACTGGTGAGACCCTGTCTCAAAAACCAAAGGGGTTGTAACTCAATGGTAGAGTGCTTGCCTAGGATAGCTAAGACCCTAGGTTTGACCCTAGTACTGGAAAAATAAACAAAAAAAGTTGCTTTAATGAATATAGTCCTGAATCTGACATTAATTATCAGATCAGAACAGCAAAAGTGATGTGCTGTGGAAGCTGAGAGTCAAAGGTGATGCTTTCCCTGGCTGCTTTTGATTCCTCTCCTGACATTACTGATTTGCTTATTCCCAGCTCATGGCACTTTCTTGGGTCACATTCGGTTGGAACCTCACAAGCCTCAACAGATTCCCATCGATTCTACGGTCTCGTTTGGTGCATCCACAAGGGCATACACTCTTAGAGAGAAGCCGCAGACATTGCCATCAGCTGTGAAAGGAGATGAGAAGATGGGTGGAGAGGATGATGAACTCAAGGGCTTGCTGGGACTTCCCGAAGAGGAAACCGAGCTTGATGTAATTCTTTGGCATTTTTTTTTTCTTTTGGGACCCTTGTGTTCACAGTATGTAGCCGTTCCTCCTAGTTCGGAATGACAGGAGGCTCTTTTCAATATGGTAAAGAGCCCTTGACAATGTATGTGGCCGGCTGTGACCAGGTTTCCCTGCACATGGGACTATGTGTTTCTTCACTGGCTATTAGAGGCTGAGACCAGAGTTGACGTTTTTCTGTTTTAGTCTTTGTGAGTTTTCTAGATGTTATTTATTTTATGTGTTTGGTGTTTTGACTGCATAAATGTATGTGCATACCACTGAGTTCTGAATATGGAGTTGGATCCCCAGGAACTGGAATTACAGACAGTTGTGAGCTACCATGTGGGTGCTGGGAATCAAACACGGGTCCTCTGGAAGAGCGTGCTGCCAGTGCTGTTAATTGCTGAGCTATATCTGCAACCCGTGGATTTTTCTGTTCTTACGACTTATGGTCCAGTTGCTAATCATATTTCATGTGAACATCTTCACATATCTAGTGGGTAACATATTGAGAATTAAGCCAACTCTGTCATGAGAGTCTCTGTAAACAATAAAACTTTATACAACATTGACATTGTTGAAGGTATAGGTGTTCTCATTAAGAATGATCTAGAGTTGATACAAAATTTGTGGGAGCCTGCATAGATAGACACCTGAGAGCTGCATTTTTTGCTATCCAGGGAAAGTCCTTGAATGAATACACACAGCTTAGATACCCATGGAAGACTGTAATTTCTGTCTTCACAGAAAGTTCTGTTGGCTAACACTACCTTAGCAAAGCCAACATTTTCAGTCATTTGGACTTTTTGGTAATGGCCTGACAGCCCAGGAATCTTTTTTAAAAATATAGTCTGCTTTTGGGCTAGAGAGATAGCTCAATGGTTAGGTTCACAGGCTATTGTTCCAGAGTACTCTGGTTGATTTTCAGCACCCACATAGTGGCTAACAACCATCTATAATTCCATATGTGGAGTTATGGGCATACACGTGGTACACAAACATGCCTGCAGGCAAACATCCACATACATAAAATATAAAATAAACAATAAGATAAAAATAAAACAAATAAGGTCTAGGCTACTTTTGTTCTTTTAGATTTAGGTGTCTATATAGCCATGCATTTTACAAAGTTTAATTTCAAAGTGGTAAAAGTGTTGTTCTTTTAATATTTCACTTTATTTTGGTGTTGGGGATTGCATTCAGGGTCATGTACGTGCTAAACACTCACTCTACAACCATCCTGAATCTCTAGCCTGTTGTCAAGAGTCTGACCCCAGTAATTTGTGATTTCATATGTCTGTTACTACAGTGGTGTGGTTCACATAGACCAAATGCAAATGTTCTTAATTAATCCTGTGCATGTGCTATTGCTGTACACTACAGCAGCTTCCTAGGCTTCCAGAAGATAAACAATAGTAGTTAATAGTGTAGAAGTCATTTCCTTCTGAAGTAACCTCACTGGAAGCCTAAGGGCCTTTCTTGGTGGTTGTCATTGTCCGCCCCTCTCCAGGCTAGTCTGCTTCCCTGTCTTTCAGTTGAGTATGTTAGGTCCTCTGGGTTTCTGGCCTATCTCAGGCTGCAGTTGGAGTTAAGTCCTTGAAGTAGAAAAGCAGGAAGCAGTGCTAAGGCCAAAGTAATCATGAGAGACATGGACCAGTCATTGGATCTGGGACCAGGTGCAGTTTCTCTGTGGCTGTGGAGGCTGTCCTGGAACTAGCTCTGTAGAGTAGGCTGGTCTCGAACTCAGAGATCTGCTTGCTTCTGCCTCCTGAGTGCTGGGATTAAAGGCTGCACCCTGCGAGTAACAAGATCTTAAATGCCAGAAATGTACTGCCATTGTCATTAAGAATTTTAAAGAAAAAGCCTAGAGGCAGTAGCACACATCTTTAATCCCAGCACTCAGGAGGCAGAGACAGACTGATCTCTGTGAGTTTGAGGCCAGCTTGGTCTACAGATCGAGTTCCAGGACAGACTCCAAAGCTACACAGAGAAACCCTGTCTCAAAAACATATTTTGAAGGAGGTGTGCTGTTTCATTTTCAGGGTTTCAGAACATCAGCACACAAAGAAGGAAGTGTTATAAATTTAAGAATGACCTAGTCTACATAGATCATGTCTGCCTGCCTCTACCCCCTACCACAGACAGACGAAAAAGGGAGATTTTAAAGACTAGCTACTGAGAAGATTTAGTTGTCTTTTTCATCTGTCTTGTTAATTTAAAACAAATTTTAGTATTCCTCCCAGGCAAATTCCCTTTAATTCTTGTCATAAAGTTGTGGTATCATTCTTTCAGAACCAGGGAAGTGAACAACCATCCCCCATTTCAAGGGTGACCTGTTCACTGACAGCCTTTCACCTACTTCCATAGCACTCTTGTGGTCAGTGAGGATGGCTCTTGTTCTCTATTAATAGTCTTAATTAGGACAGGAGGAACCCTCTGCTGCAGAAAGCAGTCTCACTGGCCTTGGGAGGCCAGAGGAAGCCCAAGTGCCTTCTTGCCTTTATTTAGTGTTTTCTCTTTCAAGCTCCCTATGTCCTAATTTATTCTTTCCTTTGTGAACCTTGACTTAGAACCTGACAGAGTTCAACACTGCCCACAACAAACGCATTTCAACCCTCACTATTGAGGAGGGGAATCTGGACATTCAGAGACCAAAGAGGAAGAGGAAGAATTCACGGGTGACTTTCAGTGAGGATGATGAGATCATCAACCCGGGTAAGTGTTCTCCGTAGTTTCTCCTTTTAAAAACAACGATTTATTCTTATTTTATGTTCATTCCTGTTTTGCCTGTGTGTATCTCTATGTGAACGTGTCATGTTACCTGAAATTGGAGGTATAGACAGTTATGAGCTGCCATATGAGTGCTAGGAATTGAAACCCTGGTCCTCTGGAAGATCAGCCAGTGCTCTTAACCACTGAGCCATCTCTGCAGCCCCCTAGTTTCTTTTGATGGAAAAAGTAAGTAGCAAACACAATCTATGGGCCACTGGGCATGTTCCTGACAGAAGTTAGAGAGATAGAAAGTGCTACACTGAGGAGAGGTGTTCTCTACAGGTCACCAGCAAAGTGCTGTGGACATTCAGGTATTCTCTAGTTACCATATAAAAGAAGGGGTAAAGGATGGGCCCTGGACAATATAGTGTATAGAGAAAAGCTGCTTCTCTTCTACTGACCCAGGATGTTGTGTTATGTGAAGGTGTAAGTGAGATATGGCTTTTGTTACCTTAACTCAAAATAGCATTTTCTGTGTAGCTTTGGAGCCTGTTCTGGAACTTGCTCTGTAGACAGGTCTGCTTGCCTCTGCCTCCCAAATGTGTGCACCACCACCACTTGGCTGCTTAAAGTTTTTTATGTGGTCTCTACTCACTGGGCCCTTGGTGCTGTGACTCTTAAATTCATTGTGGAGCAGCCCAGCCACCTTTCTGCTTGGAGAGTATTTGACACTTTGGTGTTGGAGCTGGAGAGGTGGCTCAGCAAGGACCCAAGTTTTATTCCTTGCACCTATGTTGGGCAGGTCAAAACCACCTGTAACTCCAGCTCCAGGGGATCTAACATTGGACACATGCACTCACACTTTGTACTTACCCACACTTTTACATAACTAAAGTTCTAGAGGTTTTGTTTTGTTTTGTTTTGTTTGTACCCCAGCTGGCTTGGAGCTGTATGTAGGCCAGCCTTGAACTCAGGGTCCACCTGTGATATGTTATAACCTGTCTGATTTAGTACTGTGGGTTCGTCAAAGCTGAGAAGGAGCTGTTTTGATGGGCTGCTCAGGCCCTCTAGTGAAAGTTGTGAACATGAAACCCTGCTTTGATTTCTAAGTCTGTTCTTTGCTGATGAACAGACACTTGTCATTTTATCTTATCACTAAAATAGTCTGTTGTTTTATCTGCCCTCAAAAGAGAAATACATAGAAAAGAAAACTCTGGGAAGGCAATGCATCATGATCTAAAGCACAGGCCTGTTTCTGAGTTCTTGAGTTAAAGTCCTGGCTCCTCTCCTCTCGGACAGCTAGACTGGCCTAGCACTTTGTCTCTTGCAAGCCATGGTCTGTTTCTCCTCTACGCGGCGCAGTTCAGCCATCCCTGCCTCATAGGATTATTGGAAGACATAGCACACAACATGTTTAGTATTATCTGGTTGTTTGGTGTGCGGCGGAATCCCTCATTCTCCCAACCCTGCTCTCATCTCCTTTTGCAGAGGACGTGGATCCCTCTGTCGGTCGCTTCCGGAACATGGTGCAGACTGCAGTGGTTCCAGTCAAGGTAGGAGGCTCCTTTGGAGAGGGTTTGAAATGTAAATAGTCTGGGCTCAAAAGCCACCGTTGGGTTTATCTCAGTTGTAGTACATGTGCTTAGCAAAGTCCTGACTCTGATCCTCAGCACAGAACAACAACCAAAAAAGAAAGAAACAGAGAAAAAAAACTGCTTTGTTTTGTATAGATGAATGCTTATGTGTCTAGTTTTAAAATACATCCTGTGCTTCTCTCCCTTTAAAAAATTCTTTTTCTTTTACATGTATGAGTGTATGTATGTATGTATGTGCACCACATACATGCCTAGTTCCCTAGAAAACCCGAGGGAGCATTGGATTCCCTAGAACTGGAGTTAGAGACAGTTGTGAGGCACTATGTCAATGCTGGGAACTGAACCTGTGTCCTCAAGAAGAGCAGCCAGTGCTGAGCCATTTCTCCAGCCCTCCTCTCCCATCTTTCTTTCTTTGGGCATACCCTTACCCTCACCCTGTGTCTCAGAAATCCCGTGGTCCCCACAGAAGAGCTTCAGGTGGCCAGCCAGAATACAGTGTACTAACAATTTACTGTGGAAGTGTAGTCATCTTCCTTAAGGCTGCCTCCGGTTTACCTTCCTCTTGTCTTCTCTGCTGACTTAGTGAAAGAGAAGCCTTAACGTGGGGCTTTTGCCTTGTCCTTTTAAAAATTAGTTTGCAGGGCAGTGGTGGCGAATGATTTTTAATTTCACAGCACATGAGAGAGGCAGAGGCAGACAGATCTCTGTGAGTTCAAGGACAGAGAAACCCTGTCTCAAAACAAAACAGTTATTGTTGTGCCTTTGAAAAGGTTTATTTACTTACTGTTTTATGTACATGAGTGTTTCCCTACATGCGTGTCCACGTATGATGTGTGTGCCTGGTGCCTTTAGGAATTGTTACGGATGATTATGAACTGCCATGTGGGTGCTGAGAATTGAAACTGGGTCCTTTAGAAAAGCAATAGGTGCTCTTAACTACTGCACTCTCTTCAACCCCAGCCATGCCTCTATCAAAGGAGTGGGCCCATTGTGATCCTGTCTACATCTCAGGGTAAAGGTCAGGTGTGTTTAGAAATGGACAAATAGAAGTCACCAAAATACCCTGATTTTCAGCATACTGAGTTCCCTGGTGGGTAGAGCAGCCTGAAAGGATGCGCATTGCCCCTTACAGTGAAAAGACACCTGTTGCAGAGGAGCCCAAAGTGGTTGCGAGAGGCTAAGCAGCAATGCTGCAGAAAGTTGAGTTTAGTCTTTAGAAGGCAGTCATTTTTGATACCTGTAAGGAACAGATCCTAGACTACCCACACTCTCAAGCCAGGTACCAAATCCACAGATGCCCAGATGAGTTACATAAAATGTGTATTTGCTGGTACCCTGCACACTTTTTCCCATGCACGCTCTGGTGCCGAGGATGGAGCCCAGAGCCTGTGTACTCTAGACAAGAGCTCTCCCACTTGCAACAACCAAGAGTCTTGGACAGGGCGGCTGTTTCCCGTGTGTGGTGCAGTGTGATAGAGCAGAGCATGCGACTTCTTTTGCAGGATGCCGTAACCCTGACTCTCTTGAGCTTTTCTTTCTCCATTTTCCCATATTTGCATGTTGTCAACATGCAAAGCCAGCAGGTGACTTTATGTCAGTTTTACTGTGGCATAGGATATGCTTGTATAAGCATAAAGTTTATCTGTAGTTTGAACATTGACAATTGGAAGCTTGTGTTTAACCATCACCCCAGTCGAGATAGGGTACTCCCTACCTCTTTGGCTCTAGGCCCCTAGTGAACCACACACATCTTGACCCAAATTTGATTACTCTTGGACTGTTTAAAATTGGGCACTCAAGGCCAGGGAAGAGTGGTGGTGCATATCTTTAATCCTATTATTCAAAAGGCCGAGGTGGGTGATTCTCTGAGTTCCAGGACATCCAAGATTACACAGAGAAACCCTGTCTTGAAAAACTGAAAAGAAAAAAGAATGTGTTTGCTCATTTTATTGTTAGTTAAGTGTATGTATCTGTATGTGGGAATGTGCACATGAGTAGGAATGCACCCTTGGCAATCTTAGAGGTGGCTTTGGTAACACAGCAGTGTCCTGTTTTTCTCAACTTGAGGTGGACAGGTATTACTGTGCAACATTGTTAACTGGTAGTGGTAATGCATGCCTTTAATTCCAGCACTTGAAAGGCCAGCCTGGTCTGTGGAGTGCTTCCAGGACAGCCAGGGCTGTGTAAGAGACTCTGTCTCAAAAGAAATAAAAAGAGGGGGCTGGAGAGATGGCTCAGAGGTTAAGAACCCTGGCTGCTCTTCAGAGATCCTGAGTTCAATTCTGAGCACCCACATGGTGGCTCACAACCATCTATAATGCGTTCCAGTGCCCTGTTGTGGTGTGCAGTGCAGGCAGAACATTCTATACACTGCATATATAACAAATAATAAATCTTTGAAAAAGGAAAAAAAGAAAAAGAGCCATTACTCAGATGGCGTCAGACTCTGAGAGTACAGAAACAATGGGCTACACAGTGGTCTTTTCCCAGGTGTTAGCTTTCTAAGGCTAGAGTGGAAAGAAATGAGGGCTTCACCTTACATTTCCTCTCTGTTTTTTCTCCTCTCCTCTGGCAAACCACAGAAGAAGCGGATGGAGGGCTCTGGCTCTCTGGGCCTGGAGGAGACAGGGAACAGGCGTATGCAGAACTTTGCCTTCAGCGGAGGACTCTACGGGGGCCTGCCCCCCACACATAATGAGACAGGCTCCCAACCGCATGGCATCCATGGGACAGCGCTCATCGGTGGCTTGCCCATGCCATACCCGAACCTCGCCCCTGACGTGGACTTGACTCCTGTTGTGCCATCAGCAGTGACCATAAACCCCACACCAAACCCTGCAGTCTATAACCCTGAAGCTGTAAATGAACCCAAGAAGAAGAAGTACGCAAAGGAGGCTTGGCCGGGCAAGAAGCCCACACCTTCCTTACTGATTTGATATTTGGGCTGTGGAGAGGGTGGGGATGGGTGGGACTGGGTGGAGGGTTACAAAAGGAGCTAATGAACTAGGGAGAAACTTCCATGTGTGCGGTATCGTCTTTCAGAAAGTCTCCTGGGGGCCTGACCATGTTCTATTGAGACTAGGGGTGGGGCTAAAGTACCGGTTAGAGACCCAAGTCAGAACACTTGAAGTGTGGCGAGAGGCTTCCCAGGCCCTTCTGAGCAGACTGCCCTGGCGCCCTACGTGTGCCGCCACCTCCTAGGACTGTTTCTATGTGAAGTCCCACACAGGTGGAATCCAGAGCCATGGAGGAGGTGGTAGCCTCATTTAAATTCATTTCCCTTGTGAGTCCCAGGTAGCAAAATGGTCACCATGGATCCCGGGTTGGTTGGCATTCATTTTAACCAAGGCCTGCACAAGTGTTTTTGGGGTCCAGGAGTTAGGCCTTTCTCCTCTGTCTTTCTGCTGGAGTGAGACCATGTTGAGTTCCCATTGTCTGTGGCCAGAGTCACAGACACAGGTTTATGGGTTGTGTGGTATTGTTGGACTTGGCCTGTTTTCCTTGTCCATACTGAACACTCCACTTGCTGAGTTCTCATTTAGTTCCGGTGCTGCCCTCCCTATGGTGCCACCTTTTGTGCGTGCCATGAGGCAGTTTCTAAGACTGACCAGTTAGGGTGACTCTCGTTGACCAGGGACCAGTCAGGGGGGCATGCCCAGCTGTTGGTTTGGAGGCTCCCTCAACCCCCCACTCACCCACCCCCAGTGGAGAGTTCAGGTTATTCAGAGCTCCAGGCTAGACCTGGCTAACAGGAGACGAGGTAGAAACCATTATATGAGCTTTGTACAGATTTGTACATTTGTGTAATAGGCCTTTTCTGCTTTAAGTGTAGCTTTTTACCTGTAACCTTTACTACATTGTAAATTAAATGTACCTTTTGTCATTTGGGTGCTGTCTTGTGTCTTGCTGCCAGGACGCTGGGGTGGCATGGCTGTTCTGGGAGTTGGTGCTCTGCCCTGTTAATTATCACAAATAAAAGTCACCCCCAAAGAATGAAAATTCTCATTAGAGAGTATAACCCCCAGACTAAGACCCGTTGAAGGGTGCCTGTTGCCCTTGTCAGAATGTAGAACAGATGCTTCCATGACAGCACAAGGCTCTAGGCTGCTGTGTCCTGGAGTCTCATGCACTGCAGAGATGCAGGAAGGGACCAGATTCCAGTCACACTGGTTGACTCAGCATTTGGGAAGAAAGGACAGTAGGACCAGGGGCACAGAGTCATCCTTGGCTGCATCATGAGTTCAGGGCCTGGCTGGGCAACTCAAATTTCAACAACAAAACCCACGGTAAAGGGGATTGAACTTGCAGCAGAAGCAGCCTCCAGATTGTTGATAGTGAAACCCATAGTGCAGGGGTGCCATCTCCGTCTGTTCGGGTGAGTCCTCGTCTCGTGAGGATACCTTCTTCGAAGCAAGTCTTAGGACTGCAGTCATCCCAAGGTCCTTCCTACGAGCTGTGGGCACTCACAGCACTTTGAGTTTTCTATCCTAACTTGTCTATGAGCACTGTAGGGAAGTAAAACTCCAAGCACAGGTTTACATGGCTGCTTGGACAAGGGATGTGAAGGGATCTAGGTTGTCTATTGTCACTCCGTTACGCCTGGTTGTGTCTCTGTTCTGTTTTGAAGTTTTAAAATGTCCAGTATAGGCAAGTGTGGTGGCACACACCTTTAATCCCAGAACTCAGGAGGCAGAAGCAGGGGTGTCCTAGAGTTCAAGGCCAGCTTGGTCTACAGAGCAAGGTCTAGAACAGCCAGGGCTACACAGAGAAACCCAACCTGTCTAGAGAAACCAAACAAAACCAACAAAAAAAATAGAGCCTTGGTAAAGTGCCTGGCACACAAGGATATATTTGAGTCTGAGTTCAAGTCCCTAGCACCCAAGGACCACACTCCATTGCATAGGTATATAGCTGCTAACATAGGGACAGGTGTGGGGGCAGAGACAGGTGGATCCCCAAAACTCATTAGCTAGCCAGTCTAGCCAAATTCCAAAGTCCCAGGTTCAGTGAGAGGCCACCTAGGGAATGAGTTGGAGAGTAAGGAGGAAGACACTCAAGAGTCAACAGTATATTCGTACATCCACAGGGATGCACATACCCACAAAAGGTACTTAAAATGTACTAAAGCAGCTAGGTGTAATGGTACATGCCTGTAATTCCAGCACTTGAGAGGTGGAGGCAGGAGGATCATGAGCTCCAGGTTATCCTCATAATGACTTCAAGGCCTGGCTTGGGATAGGTGAGGCCTTGTCTCAGATAAGCCAGAAAGAAATGGCCACACTGCTGCACTGTCTCAACAGGAGGCTTTGGTCACTGTAGCTGCACTAAAGGGGTGAACCAAGGGTTTCCAGGTGGAGGAGCCCCTGTGAGAGCCATTGAAGGAGGCCACCACAAGCCTTGTTAGAGGAATTTGAAAGTACTAAAAGGATCACACACACACTTCAACAGGAAGTGGGGCTCACACCTTTATGACATAGGAGTCTGAGTTGTGAGGATTTCAAATGGCAGGACAACCTGGGCTACACAGCAAAACTGCCTTAAAAACAAAAAAAGAAAATGGGGCTGGAGAGATGGCTCTGCAGTTAAGAGCACTGGCTGCTCTCCCAGAGGTCCTGAGTTCAAGTCCCATCAACCACATGGTGGCTCAATCTGTAATGAGATCCTGTGCCCTCTTCTGGCATCCAGACATACATGCTGACAGAACACTCTATATATAATAAATAAGTCCTAAAAAATAAATAAAGGTGGGGGCAGTGGTGGCTCACTCCTTTAATCCCAGCATTGGGGAGGCAGAAGCGGGGGGGGGGGGTTCCTCTGAGTTTGAGTTCAAGGGCAATCTGATCTACAAAATAAGTTCCAGGACAACCAGGGCTACAGGGAGAAACCCTGTCTCAAAAATAAAATAAAATAAAATACCCTGGAGGTGGATCAATCAATGGTAAAGGCACTTGTTGCCCAAGCCTGGGGTGTGAATTCAATCCCTGAAACCCACTGAACACAGTTTGTTCTCTGACCTCCAAATGCATGCCGAGCTAAAAGCATGTGGGCACACATACACATACATGTGCACACACACAAAAAAAAATTAAGGTCAGGCTTGGAGGCAGAACTCCAAAAGAGTTCAAGGCCAGCCTGGTCTATGTAATATGTTGTAGGTCCCCCAAATAGTGAGATCCTGACTCACTTGAAAAGTTTGGAAAATCAAGAAAAAGATGTCGCCTCACCTGACCAGAAGAATTCCTTGGGGAGATGTGAGGTGGGGCCTGATTGTGCTAGAGTGACAGTTGGAAACAGGTAAGGATGACCATGGCCTCTGAGTTTCCAGGGGACAGGCAGATAGATCCCCACCCCCACCACCATCTGTCTAGCAAATCTATATATAAATCCAAATGCTGAGATTATTTCAAATTCTGTCTGGCAGAGGGGGAGGAGACCAAGCGGAGAGAGTTGTGAAATCTTCCAAGGAGGGTGACACTTGCTGTCATCAAGAAGTGGGAGAGGGAAGGTTAGTGGTGGCACATGCCTTTAATCCCAGCATTCAGGAAGCAGAGGCAGGAGGATCTCTGAGTTCCAGGCCAGCCTGGTCTACAGAGTGAGTTCCAGGACAGCCAAGGCTACACAGAGAAACCCTGTCTCAAACAACAACAAAGGTGAAGGAGGGGCCATCTCACTCTGCAGAGCGATGATAGGGTGCAGTGTGCAGTGAACAAACATGAGGGTTGCCACATGATGGGTGGGAAGGTCTCCTGGCCTGCCTGTGTCCTGAAGGGAGCACTACTGGGATGGAATGCAGTACCTGCTTTCACCACCAGGAGGGGGCCTTTTCACCCTTGGAGCCTTACTGCAAGCAGTGAGCTTCCTCCAAGGGTGCCTGGCAACCACATAGGAAGAAAGGGAAGGACTCACTGTTGAGCACCACACGGATGAGGATGATGTCTCCCCATTGTGGAAAACTTGAGCCTTAGTGCACACAGGCCCAGGAGGTACCACAGCACAGGGCAGTCCCTGGTTGCTGCCTCCGCCCTCCCTATTCCCAGGACAGGAGACAGACACAGAATTTTCTTGGAGCTGGAGTTGTCAGCTGACCTGGTGTAGACACTGGGGACCACGAATGTCCTTCAGGAGAGCAGAAGAGCTGAACCATCTCTCCAGCCCCCTTGCTGATGTTTCCTTACCCTGTACCTCTGCCTCCATCTCTGGGCCTTTTGGTGGTAGATGAAGCTTCAGGTATTGAGCTCACACTTGGGCCAGGCATGAGTTTGGATGTCTTCCACTGGGGACAGGAGGGCAGGTGCGGTGTGAGAAGTTACCATCAGATGAGTCTCTCCTGATTCCCTCCCCTGCTGCAACTCTTTGATTTCCGTAGTCCTGCTTCTGGCTAACTGAAGTCTGTCAGCCCAGGACATGGTTTTTGTCCTTAAAGTTGACCCTGAGAAAGGCTCAGAGCTACACTGGCATCCTGTTTTTTGAGACAGGCTTTCTGTGTAGCCCTGGCTGTCCTGGAACGCTCTCTGTAGTGCAGGCTGGTGTCAAACTCACAGAGATCCACCTGCCTCTGCCTCCTGAGTACTGGGATAAAAGTACTCTCTGTTGTCTCAAAGCCATGTTTGAGCTTTCTTTTCTGGTGAATGCAGCACAACTAACCTGATTGTGCAGACAGCTTCCTTGGAGAAAGACTGTCATTCATGGTTGGGTTTTTTGTTGTTGTTGTTGATATTTTGTTTGTACAGTTTTGTTACATTGCCTAAGCTGGCTTCAAACACCTAGTTTCAAATAATCCTCTCTCCTCAGTCTCCTGAGTAAATGGGAAGGACTCCAGGCATGGCGCTGTGTCCAACTAAGGCTGGGACTTGGAAATTGTCCCATAAGCCTATGGTCCAGAGAAGCAAGAAAGTATTCCAGAATTAAGAGCATGTATGTGTTTAAACGGAGTTTCTGTCTCATCAGGCCCTGCAGCCCTTTAATCCCAAATGAACACACAGAGGCTTATATTAATTATAAACTGTTTGCAGGGTGGTTCAGGCTTCTTATTGGCTAGCTCTCTCTTATTTTTAACCCATTTCTATTCATCTGTGTATCTCCACGTAGTCTTGACACACCAGAGAATACCCAAGCATGCTATCTTCCTGGTAGCTACATGGCATCTCTATGTTGGCTCATTCTCTCCTCCCTTTTCCCAGAATTCTCCTAGTCTGGTAGCCTTGCCTATACTTCCTGCCTGGCTACTGGCCAATCAGCGTTTTATTAAACCAATAAGAGAAACATATTCACAGCATACAGAAGGCCCTCCCCCATTATATGTGCCTTGAGCTGAAGAAATGGATTAGTGGGTAAAGCACTTGTAGTACAAACACAAGGGATGGAGTTCAGATCCCCATGGTTCATGCCCAAATCCAGGGGTGGTAATGCACAGTTACGGTCCCAGCGCCTGGTGGTGTAGACAGGTAGATCTAGGGACTCAGTGATCAGCTAGTCTATCTCAAATAGTGAGCCCTAGCTCAGTGAGAAACTGTTTCAAAAACTTGGGTGAGGGGGCTGGAGACATGGCTCAGCGGTTAAGAGCACTGGCTGCTCTTCCAGAAGACCCTGGTTCAAATCCTAGCACCCACACGGCAACTCACACCTGTCTGTAACTCCAGATCCAGAGGATGTGATAGCTTCATAACAATGCACGTAAAATAAAGCTAAAAAAATAAAATATAAAAACTCTGTGAAGATACTTGACCTTTGAACCCGCCTGCCCCTTCCTTTTCCTCTTCCGGGGACAGTGCTTACAGGTGCTCAAAAACTAGGCTGTCTTGAACCCCTGGCAACAGGATTGTTTACCTTTATACCAAGAAGGTTGGGAAAGCACCTAAATCTGCATGCGGTGTGTGCCGGGGC